CTCGAACCGGCTCAAAGTCAACCCGAAACCACGTTTTTGCCACGAGTACTTGACTCCAAATGGCCCAAATATATTCAATTCAATTGCATAATGTAAATAACACTTTAAGTAACTGATTTCACAAATAAATTCTAAGCTAATACGCGAAATTAGGTAAAATGACCAAAATGCCCTCGGGCCCACATCTCGGGATCGGGTAAAATTTACATTTTCAGAATCCTCATACTCTCACGAGTTCATTTATATAAAATTACCCCAATCTGGCATCAAAATCTAAATCAAACTCCAAAAGTTAAGCCTAGGAACTTTTTCCAATTGTCTCCAAGTTTTCACCCCAAATTCGAATTCAAAGGATGAATTTAAGCATAGATTCGTGGAAATTAATCAAAATCGAGTAAGAATTACTTACCCCAAATGCCCAGGTGAAAATCCATCTCACAATCGCCAATCCCGAGCTCCCAAATTAATTTTTCTAAGTTTTGAACTAAACCCTCGATTTTGCCCCTTTTCTGATCAGTGAAACTGCATCTACGGTCCTGGGACTGCACTTGCGGTCCCGCTTCTGCGAAGACCTGGTCGCATCTGTGACATTTCATTAAAGGGGAACTTTCTACATCTACGACTACGTTACCGCAAATGCGATGCCGCTTCTGCGGTGCCCTAACCACATCTGCGGTCAACTCCCTTCTTGCTTCAACCGCCTCTGTGGTTCCTCTACCGCTTTTGCGATAATTGCACCTGCGGTCCCCAAGCCGCAGGTGCGGTTATGACAGTAGACTTGTAGCTTCAGCTGCAAACTCTCAATTCCAAATTTCCCGTTAACCATCCGAAATCGTCCTGAGGCCCCCGGGACCTCAACCAAAAGCACGAACAAGTCCTATACCACTATCCAAACTTATACCAATCTTCAAAACACCTAAAACAACATCGAAAAATCGAATTAACCATGGATTCAAGCCTAAGAACTCCAAAAACTCTCAATTTACGCTTTCGATCAAAAAGTCTATCAAACCTCGTCCGAATGACCTGAAATTTCACACACACGTCACATTCATCACTACGGAGCTACTCCAACTTCCGGAATCCCATTCCGACCCTTAGATCAAAATCTCACTATCGAACCGGAAACTTCCAAAACTCAACTTTCGCCATTTCAAGCCTAAATTAGCTACGGGCCTCCAAAACATAATCTGAACACGCCCCTAAGCCCGAAATCACCCAACGGAGCTAACGGAACCAACGGAAATCCATTCCGAGGTCATCTTCACACTGCTCCAACTATGGTCAAATTTCCAAAACTTAAGCTCTCATTTAGGAACTAAGTGTCCCAAAACTCTCCGAAACTCCAAATACCAAACATCTCGGCAAATCAAAATAGCAGAAATAAATACAGGGAAATCAATTAATAGGGGATCGGGGTGTTAATTCTTAAAATGACCGGCTGGGTCGTTACATCCTCCCACACCTAAACATTCGTTCGTCCTCAAACGAGCATAGAGACATACCTGAAGTAGTGAAAAGATTAGGGTAACGGCTGCGCATATCCTACTCGATCTCCGAGGTCGCCTCCTCGACCGGCTGACCCTGCCACTAAACCTTTACTAATGCAATGTTCTTTGACCTTAGCTTTCGAACGTGCCTGTCCAATATCGCCACTGGCTCCTCAACATAAGATAGATCTTGTCCAACTGGACTGAGCTGAAATCCAACACGTGCGACGGATCACCGTGATACCTCCGGAGCATCGAAACATGAAATACCAGATGAACTTCTGCTAAGCTGGGAGGTAAGGCAAGCTCATAAGCAACCTCCCCAACACGTCT